CACGTTTTTGATTACCTTCTTAAATACCGGCACTTCATTGACGTTGCGCCAGCACTCGGGTACTTCCGAAAAACTCAGTGATTTATCAGATATTAACAAAAAACGTAAGCTGACATACCAGCGCATGCATTCAGCGCTCTACCACATGATACATCCGGCCAGTTCCAGCTGCCTTATCAACCCTGATTACCTTCAAGCTACTATAATAGGTCAGGTGAGAATGCTTACGCGACGAGCGTAGCAGATGACGGCCAAAGACATCTGCTATCCTATCATTTCAGAATGGCGGTGCTTGCTGATAACACGAATAAAGGCACGGATAAAAGATCTCATCTATTTAAAGCTCCCCAGACGTTCCCTTGATAGCACTGAGAGAAATGAGTGGGCCGGAACTAAACGTTTTTAAGGCAAAATGGCATTGGGGCGAGATGAAGGAACTTAAAAGTCAAGTCCTCGCCTCATCCCGTTCTCACCTCCCACCCAAGAAAAGCACTGGTTAAACGTGTTTTGTTCTAAGGATTGTGACAAGGCTTTCAGAGTCCAAATGGGCATCCGCGTTGGCTCATCAGAACAACCTACGTGGTTGTGTCCGGTGCACGGAACAGGGTCCAGTCGTCGTGGCTTCGCTGGTTGTGGTGCTGGTCGTCGTGGCTTCGCTGGTTGTGGTGCTGGTCGTCGTGGCTTCGCTGGTTGTGGTGCTGGTCGTCGTGGCTTCGCCGGTTGTGGTGCTGGCCGTCGTGGCTTCGCTGGCTGTGGTGCTGGCCGTCGTGGCTTCGCTGGTTGTGGTGGTGGAAATGGCCGTCGTAGATGTGCTGGTAGTGGTGCTTGTGACAGCCGAGGTCGAGGTGGTCTCCGGGGGGCTGCTGACCTCGGTCACGGTGGTCCCTCCCGTCGACCGGCTGGCTGGGGGTCTGCTGGTCTCGGCTGAGCTGGTCTCGGCCGGAGTGGGCATGGTCGGTGTGGTCTCTGCATGGGAAAGGTACGGGAACACGGAAGATGACGGGCTCAGAGTCGCCCGGTGTAACGTTCGCGGTCACAAATTACGGCTCTGTGATGAGCTCCATCAGCATGTTTTGGTAGTTTAATGAGCATTTATCAAGCAAGCTCAGCAATTAACGTCGTGTTTACGACCATTTACGAATATCAGCGCATTTTGATCTTCACACGGACAGGATCGTCCCTCATGGCCTTTTCGGAAATAGCTGGAGAACATCCGAAGCAAAGCTCCTAAAATTTGCATCTTCTCTTGCATCAATGTCTCGCACCACGAAATCCACAAGTTCAGGTCAGGTCAGGTCAGTGACCTGGGGTAGTTTCAGCCTTAATATGTCGAAACAAAACATTGATGAGTTTGAGGCGGCCTGCCAAAAGGTTGCAATAAAGTTTGCATGAAAGGTTGCAAAAGGTTGCATAAAGAGTAAAGGTTGTAGGAAGGTTGCATAAAGGTTGTAAGGTTGTAGCCTTCCTGTGGTCTTCATAATGTTTTCAGCTGACAGTTTCCCTCCCTGATCGTCCAACGATATTCTGTGGCCATCATAGGATAAAGACCGACTTAACCTTAGCTCTGGCCCATGGCAACCTTTACTGCACTAAAGAAACCTATCAGTTTTGCTTACGTATTGCCCAACAACATTGCTTTAATGTTAGTGACGTTTTGACCGAAAGTTTCATCAGCGGTAGCTAACCTAATTGCACCTGTGGGTCTGCAAGTTAAAAAATTGCGTATGTTGTCGGCATTCGTCGTTCCACTTTGCCATTTCACTCTATAATGTTACTTACACACAGCAGTAAAGGTAACCAAAATGGTCGCATAAGGGTTGTGAAATCAGTGACCTACACATGCTCTTCTTTCAGCTGCACCACATTTCAGCTAGACATTGTGCGACTGGTCTAAAAATGTGTATTATTCAAATCGGCACAGGTACCATCCTCGACTGCTGACCGTTAAAAAGGAACGTAACTGTTGGCGAAAATGTTGCTTGTTCAAAAGAAACGACGACTGACTTCGCTTTCCTATGCTGACTTATGTCAAACACCCTTGACATTTTATAATACAAATTAAATGCGATATTACAAATGGCATATTGTGTATACGTGTATATGTCAATACAAATACAACTGTGTATATGCGAGATGGAACAATCCACACTGAATGAGCAAGCTCAAGAGACGTTATTTCGAGAAGATCGGGTCACACAGGAAAATCTCTTTGAATTTGCATGACCTTGATTGTGGCCTTACACTCCAATGACCGTCATTAATGCTGCTGCGCTTTGCGTGAACTAACTACTAATTTTATTGAACTATAAAGTAATAAAGTTTCGCATATCTTCATCAGTTCCCTTTCCAATGTCGTGTATATGTCAATACAATACAACTGTGTAATAGGCGAGATGAGAACATCCACACTGAAATGGAGCAAGCTCAAAGACGTTATTTCGAGAAGATCGGATCACCAGGAAAATCTCTTTGAATTTGCATGACCTTGATTGTGCCTTACACTCCAATGACCGTCCTTAATGCTGCGCTTTGCGTAAACTAATACCTAATTTTTTAATTGAACTATAAATAATAAGTTTCGCATATCTCTCATCAGTCCTTTCCAATCCGAAGCTATCAGGGGAGGGATAGGTACTAGGTACCTAGTCGTATCGTTGATGCTTACTCCTCCAGGGAGTAAGTCCCTGCCCACCCCCCCCCCTCACCACCCAGGCCAGGTTTGGAGTAACCTCTATGAGTGCGACAGAATTATAACCCTTGAGGTTATTAGGGTTATAATGTGCCTGTTAGCATGCCACGAAGCACTCATGGTATGGCATCACTCGCTATCTCCCTTTAGGAAAAGGAAATTGCCAAACCATGATTACTCACCGCAGCCAGACCTGCTGAGCGGGCGTTCGCCTTCAGGACACGAGCAGGTGTTAGAGCGGCAAGTTGCCACGCCATTGGTCAGACTCTCGCAGTCGGCGTCCTCAGCGCACCAATCACCGAGGTAGGCTGCCGGAAACAGGCGAACGCTGCCATCTGCGCCTGCTTTAGAAAGAAGACGTGCTCAGTGGTGCAGCACCGACCCGTCGGCTTCTTTTCTACCACCGGTGGTCTTTCTTTTACCATCGGTGGTCTTTTCTACCACCGCTGGGCTTTTCTACCACCCGGTGGTTTCTACCAGCCGGTGGTATAAAAAAGCGGCTGTGACTCATCTCAGAACGGGAACGTCGTGAGCGTTAATGATATTTACTCGCCATTGAACAGGACTAAAACTATGCATTTCAGTCCAAACGCCCGTGAATAAAGCATTATCTTCGCAGCAACGAGGTACCGTTGCCTTAGGTCTGGAAAGTCATAACAGACGAACCGAAGTCCCCCAAAAAACATCAGGGAACGCCCCATGTCTCGTCTTCAGCCCTGCCGTGCACAGCAAGGTTAACGAGCGCATGATCATGTCGAGAGGGAAACATTTAGTGCAAGCTATGTACCCGCACACACGACTAGTACCGAGTTTTCAACAAGCAGGTGTTTTGATGATGCGATGCATTCTCACCGCATGCCAATGATTGCGACGCGCGCTCAACGCTCCAACGCTGTTAAGTATGTCATTACGCCACTTCGTAGCTTGTTGTGATGCTGTCAGTTGCTGAGCATTGTCTTTGCGTTATTAACCATGTGATTACGCCACTTCGTAGCATGTTGTGGCTCTGTCATTTACTGAGCATCGTCTTTGGAATAACTTGCGGCCCTTCTCTCTGATCTGATCATTGTTAGTGGAGATTAAGACCTATTAAAGCTAGAGGCAAACAACAAACTTCATTCTGGGATACATGTTTGGTATGACTTCTGGTGTGTCGGAGGCAACAATAAAAAAGCCGAATCCTCTTCACCTAGTCGATATCGCAATAACGCAACTAGGCATACTTTTAACGTCTTTTGGCTATTTAGTCAAAGCCGATGTACAGCCATACTCCATCAGGCAACAGCAGATCCTCATTCAGCAATCTTCATCTTTGTTTCATGGCATCGAGCGACTGGAAGTCTCCGACAACACAGAACGCGTGAAGATGGTCGTCACATACCAGCTATTGCACGAGAGGTAAAATAATGAGATTCATGCATGGAGCAGGGGGCGGTATGCATAACACAGGTCAACTTGGGCTTATCAGACACCAGGACCATGAAACCCCACTCGTCGGTTCTGAGTCCGGGGTCTGACCGCAACATTTACTAATTCACTGACTTGCCTGCTAAGCACTCTACCTATGCGAACAAGATACTTCTTTTACAACTGTTTTAATGTAGGGCCGATACACAAAGGCCAAGTTGAAACCTCAGTTCTTCAATTCTCGGTGGTGCGCTACGTGGGTCGACGCTGCTTAGCGCTGTATTAAAGACATTTGCGTTTTCGTTGCGCCATTTCTAATCAGTAGAACCGAACTGTTCTATGTTTTATCATCTGTATGGAATATGGTCTCTATAACATATCAGTTATGCTAAACTTGCATTCGAATTGTGGCAAGGGAAACATCAATTTCCGAGCAGCATGCTTAGCTGAGAATACAATGCCCTTCTTATTTTTGTATAGTGGGCAAAACTTCGGCACAAGATATCTTGGAATAAGATACCATTTCTATGCATTAACAGGTTTGGAGGTCAGCACTGTTTGATTCAACCGGATTGCTGAAACTGGCAGCACAAGCCAAAACGGGATTCTTGATTCATAGCAATGTCCATTTATAAAAAGTGAAATACCGAGCAAAAATGTGACAGGAAAATTCCACAAAACATCAAACTCCCCCAGCTACTCAATATCTGCTTTTGATCTCACCGTCATGCCGAACCGTGTTTCTTAACTTGACTCAAGACACTGCAAAACAAATGGCTTCAGTTATGAAACTGCGATCGCTATGCTTTTGTTAATCCGCTCAAGAACTTCTTGTTGTGACATTTCACTCTGGTGTGACATAGGAAATGTTGCTAATGTTTGTCTTCTGCATTGTTGCATTCATTCCTCCACACTTCAGACATTGAAAACAATCAACATTGCTGCGCGGTCTCGTTTTTACCTGCAAAAGTTGTCCAACTGCGTGGCTCGCTCGAATCGTCAATAAACTGACTCAGCTGTAGGTGGTTCATGATTAATCTTGAATATGAACTGATCCACCTGGAACACTATCTTTACCTCGATATCATCTACAATGTACCTCCCTAGAACGTAGCTAGACTGTTGCTGAAATGTTCACCCCGTGGGTCAGTCGGTTAGAGCGCCTGCCACCCATCCCATCTTTGGCAGGGCGAAGGTACGAGTCGCTGCATTCGCCTCATTTATCGTGCTCGCTATTTGCCCCTGGCGCGGATGACCCCCGGCCGGTGGCAGCGGCCGCTCAAGGTCATATGAGGTCACAGTGCCGGATGAAAGGAGCCGAGCAGCGCGGCACGTAAGAATCGGGTCAGGTCAGGTCATCGAATCGGGTCAGGGCTTCCGCACCAGACACGGCTCAGCGTGAGCTCTGATCCAAAAACTCCCTCCAATAAAAAGGTACAAACCAATCGAAAACAAAGCATATAGATTTTGGCCCGTCCAAGCCCGTGGATTTTCCAGCTGAAGAGGCCAAGTTCTGAATTTAATTTATGGACCAGACATGCCTGTGGCGAGCGCAGGCAAGGCAAACGATGGATTATGCAGCGACATCCAATGTGGGATGAAAGCGTTTCGGCATAGGTATGGTCCACATTTATTTTACACTTCATTGCATATCATTACGCTATCTTACATTTAGCTCCACTCAAAACGGCGCCCATTCAGATTTGCTCGATTGACTCGAAATTGCCTCGATGGACCTCCCATGGAAACGCCCGTCGAACGACCGCCTGGCGGGCTGAATGGACACTCGGTGCCTGACATTGTGTTGCTATCCGAGGTTGCACGCAAATGACGCAAGCAATCAGGGCATACGCGGTCCAGGAAGGTGGTAAACATGCGCGGTGCAATGAGGGTTTGTTTACTTAGTTTGATCTTTCCTTGCGGTAGTAGGCTCAATGCTGGGTCTGTTGTAAGGACCGGGTCGTCAAAGGATGCCATAGACTCAATGAATGAGTTTTGAAATCTCTGAATGGCCCTGGCTCGTCCCTCCGCATTGCAGTAATTCTTTAATTTAATGGCAATTTTATTTGCAGTTTTCTATTTTGTATCTATTTTTCTGCAGTAAATATAGTGCATAGAATGATGAACAATAATTTCAATAAATCGTTTCTTGGCGATCGCCATAGTACTTTTTGGATAGTTTTTAGCTTTTTGAATTAGCGATTTGTTTAGTTATTTTGTTATTATATTGTGTTTTTCTTTTTAATTATGCTTTATATTTTTATTATATTTTATTATTTCTATGAATAATTATATTTCTAGTAAGTAATCGGCAATGTATCATCGGCAACGATTGATACGCTAGCTCGTGTGTTGTCCACCGGCGTACTATCAGCCTGTTGCCCAGGTCTTGAGCAGAGCCGTTGGACGTAGTTGTCGGGCAGAGGAGAAAGCTTTCATCCCGACGGCTCTGTCTACTTCTACATGCTTCTGCATACCTCTACGTGCTAAACAGAACAGCCGGAACTTTAAAGGCTATTCTCGTTTGCGTCGCGGGACCGACAGCCACCACGCAGTGGGTCTGTCGCACCCGATGCATTCTCGCATGCAGTAGAAGATGTTACTGCGTCGCGCGGGTATTAAACACTAGCTGCCGCTCAACTCGATCATCAAGCACTGAATTTCTGATGCTGGCGCATGTTCCCGAGCCGCTGTGAGGCAAAGGGCTTCTCTTCGAAGCGATTTGAGAACGATTTGATCTTCACGCTTATTAGCAACTGTGACGTCTGAGTGGCGGCGACCCTTTTTAGCGACAACTACAACCTTTCCAAAATATTTTGAATAATTTTGTACACCGCTAACGACGTCAGGTGAGTCACTGTTTATCACCAGCTTTCGTTTCCGCCTTAAATTTTAAAGCAATGGATGTGATAAGGCTTCAGAGCATGACCTAGGTTTGGAAATACGTGATTTTGGGGCGCACCACCTTGTCGTGGACTTGAAGGTGCTTCCACACCGCTTCATGACTTTTTCTTTGGTTTTGACTGACATCGGTTTGGGCCAAGCCTCCTGTAAACGAGATCGGTTTCGAAGAAGGTGCCATTGACCGCTCGCCTCATGGATACTGACCTAACACTATGACCTATGACCTATGGTCCTGGTATGATCCATATGACCTATGGACCGGAGAGCTTTAAGATCTGATGGTAATTATGTGAGTTGTTAGGTGCATTTGCGAGAAACATTATGCACATAGATGAGACAATAGTAATAGCCTTATCCATCGTAGAAATACCTGGAGAATGGAAACATAGATGCATTGATATTTCAGCAGCATGCCTTTATCGAAATGAGTAGGACTTAGAAAAGAACTAGAATAGCACAGAACTAGTTGTTACAACAACTAGGAGTTAGAATAGAACTTTGGCTACTCGTTTCGATAAAGACATGCTGCTGAAACATCAACGCATCAATAGTTCTATTCTCCTTGTTTTTCTACGATGAATAAGGCTTTTACTTCTGTCTTATCCATGTACTAATACGTTATCATCGGTACACTCGCCTACGCTGGCTCGACGTCTCCGCCCACTCTGGGGGCTCAGGCTTTGCATCAAGCCTTAAAAACTTTGCACAACGGTGAAATTCACGAACGGCAGACGAGAGCACGGGACTGAACGCGAACATCGACTTGCACTTTTGCCAGTAATATGCCCATTGTCCCCACCATCGCCAGATGTGCCACATGCCACATGCCGCAGATATGCCACATGCCACATACCGCAGATATGCCACATGCCACATACCGCAGATATGCCACAGGCCACATACCGCAGATATGCCACAGGCCACATACCGCAGATATGCCACACGCCACTGAATCCGTGGCTCGACGAAACCTAGACTAGGTTTTTAGGTGTGTTTCTCGGCTTATTTTTGCTATTTGAGAATCCGACTTGTCAGGGGTGGTGAGGTTTAGGTGAGGTGCCGTATTGTGATATACTGATCAGCTCTGGAGCCATTTTGGAAGACAGATGAGAGGGGCACACCAACGTCTCTGTGCTGGTGATGGTTGGAACCAATGGATTTCGTCTGAAGTTGAGCAGTCGTAGAGTTGAATCCGCAAACATCTATTATGCTAACTTGGTGAACCAACCTTTCAACATTTACTCATGTGCTGCTGCTGCTGAGGAGTCTCAGCTACAGAGAATGACTTCCCCACCAAGCAGCGGAATCGGAGAGTGGCTCCCCCTCCCTGCCCCGGAATCGGAGATTGGCTTCCCCATCCTGCCGCGGAATCGAAGAGAGTGGGCGCAAAATGACTTTGACGCCGACGGGCCCTTAAACGCCAAACCATCATCATTACCGCAGGAATCGGAGAGTGAATTGCCCGCTCTGTTACGGAATCGGAGAGAGACTTGCTGTGGAATCGGGCGGTGGCTCCACCCACCCTGCCGTGGAATCAGAGAGTAAACTCGCCCGTCTTGCTGCGGGATCGGAGAGTGACTCACCCATCCTGCCGTGGAATCGGAGAGTAACTCACCCATCCTATCGCGGAACCGAAAGCACCACGCCCGTCTCTGTGCTCCGCAGGTGCCGCTGTTTCCACGCACGGCATTCAGCGCGCATTTGCCGGTGCTGGCCTCGTAGCTGAGCCCAGGCAGACCTCCCTGACCAGGCACAGGGTCAGGCAGTCGCCTGTGAGTGGACGCCGCGCTGTGAGTGGAGTTCTGCTACGGCTGGGAAAGGAGCTGATTTATTCACGATGAAAACACACTCCGGAACAATTCAGTACTCCATCCAAATCCACCCATCTATGCATCCTCTATCCACCAGATCCAGTAGCCCAGTTCAGTACTCCTTTTGAGTGCATCTGTCGTAAATTAAACTGGCTGTGACATACCTACAGTCTCCATTTGGAGTAAGCTCTTCCCCTTTGTACTCAACTGTATCGCTCAATGCTCCTGAGCCATTTGACACTGCACCATCGACATGCCGTTGCGTGCTGATGACGTAATAGCGTACGCCGCGGGATCCAGAAATGACGATCTGACCACGTCGCCAAGAGCTCACCAGTTGGAAGGGACACACAATCGTCTACGTCGCGGGATCCAGAAATGACGACCCGACCACGCCGCCAAGAGTTCACCAGTTGGAAGGAACACACAATCGTCTGTTTGTGTAGCCAGGCTCACACACAGCCCGCCAGTGTACTCACACTGGGACCTGACGTCCTCCAGCGCGAGAACGTCCTCCGGCCTGGTCAGCAGACCCTGGCTCTTCATCAGGAAGGGGGCCGACCTCATGACGAACGTCTCCTCTCCCAGGCTCGCTCTGCAGACGCCGGAGACTAGCAGGAGGGCGGCCAGTGCTGCCCCCAGCGCAGGACACCACATCGTGCAAGGACGCGCCGCGGTAGCGGTAGCGCCAGTGACTGCTGGAGACGCAGGGCTGCGGCTGGGGGAAGGGGGGGGGGGAGGCGGTGCCGGGCGACCTCTACAAACAGTGTACGGTTGCCGCACCGTGTTGCGTCCCTGTTGCGATTGCCACGCTATGTCCACATGCAAAATGTATGGCCAGATGCATGCCACGTCAAATGTATGCCTAGGTGGTTGCATGTTTTGCATCGGCGGGTGCGCAGTGATGTTAATGGCACCTCCCACGTGGTGTGTTGAAACGGAGGGTTTTCTAAAATCCTCGTGCTTGTACCTATGGACTTAACTGGCTTCCCGAAGAATGACTTTGATTTCCAACAAGGAAAGCATGGCAAAGAAAGCGTAGGGTTCCTAGATTACGACCTCCTGGCCAAATGAGGTCAAACAAGTTCAAACACCGGATTGGTCTCCGAAGTGCCCCCAGGACTAGATGTCTGTTCTAAGCAAAAGATCACATTCTAATTTAGGGTCAGTGACCTTGTTTGAATGTTATCGTGACCAAAATCATATGCGGCTGCTCTGAGTTTTGCGTTTGAGTAAGCGGTAAAGAATACGATTAGCAGTATGTTCCTAAAGACAAAATGCTGGTCTGGGTCATTTCAGGTCAGTGACCTATTATGACCTTAAAGATGTCCACTGAGGGTGTGTGATGCGGCTCCTGTTAGCAATACCACCCCATATAGCGAGCCCTAGAGTAATAAAACAGGTTGGCTTTGACCTTGGTCCGACCTTCATACCTGACCCTCGTTCAATGAAATTTATTCTTTCAAGCGTTTAATTACCTAAAAAGTATCTCAGAGATTCATGGCTCCGTCTAACACTAGGTTGCTGCATCAGAATGAATGATTCCCTATGAATTGAATTTGCTGAATCCATATCCTGACTTTGACCTGCCGTAGTTAAGCGACCTCACAAGCTACAATTAAATTTTTCATATCAAGCAAACCACTATTCAGCTGTCTACAGTTTTCAAATAATTTGCGCGGCTTCGCCGCACCGTTTGCAAGCCATTTTGGAAACTCTTCGGGGGGATCAAACTCACCCCCCGAGCGCGTGTTAAAGGCCTCTTTCTTCGGCGGTGTGGGTCTGTAGCCCCACCTTGCTGGAACCACAGCTGGTTCAGCTAAGGCATGTTGCCGCCCAACCTGCGCTTCAGGACCCTCCAAAATTAGTTTACATCTGCATGCACCGCTTGGTGCTGTAACCCCTGCAGGGCCATGCTGGTCCCTGAGACAAACAGGCCCCAGTGTGTCCCTGCTGAGCTGGCACATTATGCAGCTCGTTTTGCGCCGCGGGAGCGGGCTTCAGCAACCACGTCAGGCTGTTCGGTGGGCCAATTGGTAGCTTTGGCTGGTGAGTTGAACGTCAAGATGGCCGTTGTGAGTTGTCCTTAGCCTCAACGCTGGGCCAGCTCTTTCAGCATCAGCTTCACCCCCTCACGCCCCCCCCCCAAAAAAAATACCGGTGTGACGCGTGCTGGCCTGTTTATCAGTCCCGGTCAGCACCTGGCGGACGGGGAACCTGTATGAGAACATCTTTCCGTCAGTTCTTGCCAACCGCTGGGCCGCGTTCTTCCTGCAGATTAGGTCTTCACCCAAACGCTGCGAAGACTTGTTGGGGCTGCACAGTAGAACCTTCGTGGTCTCTTGCGCGTTGTCGCGAGTCCGTTTTGTATCTTTCCCTGATTTGTCATTCGAGTAAGTTTTCGTTACTTCCCGTGACAATGAACTTATGCACTTGGTTTAAAGTTGCGCTTTTGGACGATGCTCTGCAGAAGTCTTCTGCCGGAGACTACACAGAAGGAGCTGGTCTGAGGCCATATCGCGTGCCATTGTAAGGCCCAGAACGTTTCAACACTATTTCAAATCATGACGGTGGCGTGCTCAACTAAAACTGTGCTTCACCCTGTGTCCACCATTACTTTTTACGGGGTCGTTATCACACGGGAACTTGATTGAGAGTCTGCTGGCGGTTGAGATGCATTGCATCCGAAAAATTATATGGTTTTACGGAAGGACTGACAGGATGCAATAATATCACAGTTGGAATGATCGCCCATTTGTCAAAGAGGCAGGACAAAACAAAAGAAAATTTCGCATTGATTAATACTTGGCACGATGCACCCGTGCTGTTGGTGGGTGTCTGACTACAAGCGGCTTTTTCGATGAGGTTTTGCTAAATGGTACGCCTTTACCTCAGTTAATTATTTTCTGCTGCATACATGACAGCAACATCCCCCGGCTGATGAAATGCTCAATATTTCACGGCAGCGTGCAGCAGAAACATGGCTGTTCTGATGTGAGGAATTCGATGAATATCAGTGGTCGATACAAATTTAAACGAGTTGCAGTTCACGAATGCACGAGCCCGCCAGTTGCAACCGCAGTAATCGCTCGTCAGCGTAATAAGTAATGAGTCCAGCATAAAGTAATGAATCCTCGTAGGTCTTATGCCTTGCATGACCGAAAGAATTTCTGTTTGTGTCATTATACACGCTGTTTCATACATCAATCAGCAGTATCTGTTAGACGTAACCTTCACAGAACACCATAATGAAGGAATGAACTTGAATTGGCTCCCTGAGAACACCGCTGTAATCCAGGTCATAATTTAGTTGCTCCGAGCGTGATGGTGCGTGTGTGCGTGTGTATCCTACCAAAACATCCCAGAAACGGCAGCGCGAAATGTGCCAAAAAATGAAGTAGCGGGTCATTGAACCCTAATCATAACACAACACAAACTGCACTAGATTGGGCACATTTCCGTCTCTCGGCTGTAAAGCGATTATATGGGGTTGATTGAACTAATCTAAAATGGCCCATAGAAGTGGGTAAGTCAGTTTGAGCGAGACGCAGAGGAAAGTCACCCATTTCTCTCGGCGTTTGTTAACCATGCACGGCGTCATTCAAGACTCCATAACTGGGCACTGTCTTAATTTTGCTGTTCACAAATGACTTCGCACAGCATATTTCACACAAAACGAACATAATGAACGCCAATGACGCCCAGTTTATTGACACCGATCTCCCGACCAACATTTCGGACTTCAAAACTAGTGTTGCGAAAATTTTGGCAGTAGTACTGGAATGGTTTGGTCAGAATGGACTAAGAATACACCCTTCCAAAGGAGATACGACTCTGATTAGATATCGCCGGCTTAACAACGACCCTCAATTAACGGTTAAATATGACTACGACTGAATCAAACTCTGGATCTACCCCGAGCAGAACAAATCACATATCCATCATCATGCGTCGTTGCTACGGTAGGCAGGTTACACTTGTTCGTATCGTGTTTGTTACATCGCGTACTGACGGAGACCAAGAGTATGATGGTGGAGGCGCTGATGCTTCCCCACATTCTATACAGTTTGACTTTGCGTTTGTGTGTGGAGGGCGAGGGAGGATGCTCAGCTGTAGAGAAACAGTGGGTTCAAAAATCACCGCGCTTCGGTGTTCGCATCGCCCTCAGTCCAAATATCTACAATCGTGGTTCGCCCACACTGCCAGTGTTGGGCTGGCCCACAATATCTGATACGATCACCGAACGAGACATGATGACGATCCTTAACACCCTGTCCAACACCCGTGCACCCGAGGCGTTGCGCGAACCCAACGCCCGTGCACCCGAAGCGTTGCGTGAACGGTGGTCGGCCGTGCTTCAGTGTCCTTTCGTGTCACTCGGGCCACAGCTGACGTTCTGTTGCAGGTCCTGCGCACCGAGCCCGCGGATTAGTTGTTTCTCGAGAGAGTCGCATGTGGAGCTCGCCGCCGCCAGACGTTTACCTCTCTTCCACTGCACCTTGGACTTCAAGGACAGCTTAGTCGCTTGCCTGGCGTCGCAATGAATGCGTTACGCGTTTTTTTTATCACCGTGCGTAATTTCCATGTGTTTTTTCGTGTCCAAGGTATGTGACGTGGATACCGGAAAAGCCATATCATGGATGATCTTAAATGCAATCGATGTGTCGATCTATCTAAGCCCGTCTTACCCAAAACTGCGCATGCCTCTTAACTTACACGTCTCCTGAAGCCAGTAGATCGTCTGAAGCAAAATAACTCACACTACGATGTTTGCAATATCGACAATCACAAATCAGACTGAGCACAATTTACGACTGCGTTGTTCCCGCCAAGTTGATTTACTAATCTGCTTTCGTTACGACCAAAGTTAGAGAAGCCCAGCCTGATTTACTAATTTGCTTTCGTTGCAGCCAAAGTTAGGTGACTGTCGATGAGCTCAACTTTTTATTTGTGCTGAAGGAACAGCCTAATCAGCATCTTGTACTTTCATTCTTTTTATGTGCAGCGGTAACAGACCCAAGGTAAGCTATCATCAACATCGAGGCTTTAACCATCATTCCTGCCAGAGTTTTTTTTACCTTTGCCTTACAAACAGGAAGCTTACGATCTCGAAAGTAATGAAAAGGAAAAATAAGTAATCTGGACCCACAACGAAAACGGCATTGGAAACCATTGTCAAACTGCATCAGGTGTGAGAGAACAGTATTGGACATAACCATTGACAGATCAAATAAGGTCGCAGTGATCAAATTAGCGCTTTATAGACCCAGTCTGTTATATCAAAGACTAAGCATGCTGCGAACCTTTGGAAATCAGAGCTGAAAGTATCTGGGAAAGCTTTATCAGATGGGTATTAGAAGAAATCTACTGACATTACCTCTGTGGTGTCACGCCAGGCTAAACTGGTGAAGACTTTTGATGGATTGACCCGTTCGCCAATACAAAAAAGAAACAAACCAAAGCAATCAACGATAACAAGCGTTTGAAACCCTCTTCAAGCTATCAGATATGTGCCAGTTAGGTTTTGAACGCACGTCATTCAAACGATTAAATCTAGTCACAAAGATCAAAGCTAGAACTAGCTAACCTAAGCTCGGGCGCCCTGACCTTGCAAAAGCAACCAAAACGACATGAATGCACTTAAGCGTGGTACAGTA